TTTATAATAAATAAAATAAATAATAATAAATGCACGTGTATATATGACATGTTATAAAACATATGAGTAGGCACATTATATCTATATGGCATGTTATATGCATGGACATATAATATATAATTATCAACATAAAATATAAATATATGCAATCGGCTATTGAGATGGATTTGACCGGGTCCCATGAAAATTATAAATCACAACCAAATCGAATAAATAAATAATTACAATAATTATTTTCTTCCGTTACATCAACGGGTCTTCGATTCTTGAACTCTTCATTCTTTGGCTTCGTTTTTCGTCTTCGGGTCAGATTTCACCTTCTTCGGGGTCCGGAACTCTTCCGGGTCTGTCGGCATGCTTTACGAGGGTTTTGAAAAATCTCGGGTCCATTCGGGGTCTAATTCCCGAATCTGGGCTGCTAGCTGCGCACTCTGGCCACGCACTGTGCGCGCCCGCGTGGTCTGACCGCGCGGACTGTCCACGCGCGTTAGGTCGCGCGCTGGTCGCGCGCTGGGTGCGTGTTGTGCGCCCGCGCTGGGGCCCACGCGCGCTGGGCTCTTTTCGGGAAATTTTCTGGGCAACTTAGGGCTGTTCTTGGGTATCTTCAAAGCCTCCTTTTGATTCAAAATCAAAACCCTAATTCTACCCAAACCCTAGAATTACAATAATTCTAATCCTGAATAAAATTACAAATAATTTAATTTGAACGAATTTAATGCGATCCATGGAACCATATAATTAATGACCAAATCCATCATCCATACATTCATCATCATGAATCAAATATAAACATCCATAAATGCAAGTGCCTACCCATCACATACATACATAATTAATTTTTGATTATCAAATAATCGGAGCATAAATTAATATCGTCTATAGACCGCTCTGATACCAATTGTTGGTCTCAGAATCGAATTCGGATGCAGAAGCGTGGTGCGGGGGGAAGCGGATCGTGTATGACAAAAATTTTCATAAAACTTTTGAGATACTCTATAGATTATATTAATTTATGCACGAATAAATTAATCTCATTAATTCATTTATTAAGAACTCAATTAGGAAAAATACCTGGAGGCCGACTCGGATGATAAATTGAGTTCTTTGACCTCGAACAATCCTTGCTCCAAAGCTTTGTGTTTAGAAAACCAATGTCTTCCACGTCAATTCCTAGAATCCACGAAGATGTGTGTGTCGTCACACATGAGACAAAACGAGTTACAATAAACACTCGAATTTCCACAAACACCAACGCATGCACGATGTGGAATTTTTGGAGAAAAAATTTTTCCTTCCTCTCTACAAAGAGAATTTCGGCCAGCCTTAACAATTATGGCTGAAAAATTGTTTCAAAAATTGTCTCGCGCAATTTTCTATTATTCTCATATTTATAGAGTAGAAGTCAAACTTCTAGAAGGAATCTAATCTCTATCTTCAAGATAAAGCTTGTCAATTATCTCCTATTTGAATTTTGAACAAAATCTCCTCCTCTACTTTATCCTATTGTGGCCGGCATCCTTGGGATTTTCTCCCTTGTGTGTGGCGCCAACATGTAGATAGGGAAGGAAGAAAAATCATCCTTTATCCTGTAGTCTAATTTTAATTCAAATTCAAATTCGAATTTAAGTCAAACTTAAATTAATTTGAATTCTAAATTGAACAACTTATCAAATAA